CTTTAAATTAAATAAGTGATCTCAGAGTACAACTGCAGTATTTTTAATTCAATTTTCTAACTGATAGTCATTGTCTCTGTTCTCCAGTGACGAAAACCAACCGGATACACTGTTTTTAGATCAAGTTGAAGTTGGTGAGACGTACGAAATGGTGATTACGAACATCAGTGGTCTTTACAGATATAGATTTGGTGATGTCATCAGAGTTGTCAGATTTCACAACCAGTGTCCTGTTGTAGAATTCTTGTACAGGTATGTAAATAAAGAAAAAGTGAACCATGTAGTAGACAGTCATCTATGTAAGACCATGGTGTGTACAAAGCTTGCCACCAGTTAAAGCATGCAAGATTCTACTACCAAAGACGAGCAGATCTCGCGTTGTTACCTGTGCTTATAAAATATGCTGATATAAATTTCTGCGATTTTTAGGATTTTAGCGATGGCTTATTTCTTGTTGTTTTTCCACATGCAAGAAAAATTACACATAGCTACAAAATTTTCCAATTTTCACTGGCGTGTGAAAATTAGTCACTCGCGGAATTGATACAGTTTACCGTTCATCCCATAAATACGGCACATCGTCATAAATACCAGCATTAGTTCATAGAAAATTCTTTATCTTTTTATATTTAGACAAGGACAGTTATTGAACGTTCATGGCGAGAAGACTTCAGAAGACGTTCTCTACAAAGCCTTGGTGGAAACGGCTTCTGATTGGCCGAATGTCAAATTAGTTGATTATACATGCGCTGAAAGTGTCATGTTGAACTCCCGCTACGGTAAAGTGATGTAATCCTCGTAAATGTATAATTTTCGTATCATACTATGATTACTTTTTTTTTATTCTGTTTGCTATTTTTTTAATAGTGGCTTTAAGCAAGTTGATAATTGTGTGGAGAAAACCAAGTTTTAGCCGATGTACCTGAAACTATTTTATTCTAAGTAGAATCTTGGTTTGCTTTTGAATCTCACAATCTGGCGTATCATCACTAAATGTGTAACTATGGTTTTCATATTGCAGGTAATTCCAATGCTAGTCCCTCTCAGTTTTATCTGATATTTATTGAATTAGAAGGAGCAGGTACAAATTCACATAAACTTACGCAGACACAGAAAAACAGGGTAAGCCTTCTGTCAGTGTGTATTTCTCTTTAAGCCTTATTTGTATGATACATGTACTTGTAATTTACTCAGTAAC